CCAACCACTACAAGCTGATGAAATGTCCCTGTTTTGGGGTAGACTTTTGTCCTCTATTTTAAGGCAGCTGCTCAGGAAGCTGCATAAGAAGCTGATCACATCTGGCACTGCCCACCCTGCTGTGTGTGAGGCCCTGCTGCCTCTGTGCCTGCTCTCTCTGTGCTTGTTTCCCTCATGGTTCCCTGCCTGCTGTACCTGGGAGTAAATATCCTTCTTGTAACAAACTCGGGACCCACCCATACCTATTAAAGCAAGAAAGAATGCAGCTCCATAGAAATACTCTCCCAAACTCCTATTATTAGCTTTTCGTAGCTACATTAATTTTAGAAGGAAAATTAGGTCCAAAGTGCTGGGCTCATTTTAATGAAGATTCACAGTCACAGCTGAATCCCTTGACGAGGAAGAATCAGCTTTTGAGCACATCAGACTCATTGCAAACTCCTCACAAAGTCATCAGTGTCTGACGGGGGTGGCAGGAAAACGGGCTAAAAGGGAGCGATTCCGTGTAGGGATTGGAGCGAGCAGAACTTTCTGAACCTGCACTTCCCTTCCCCGCCTGCAGCCGCAGCAGCTCCGGGAGAGAGATGAAAGCACCAGGAGATAAACAAGCAAACAGCTCTGAAACAGTCACGCTGCCAAAACAACCCGGGGAGGATGGGACGGGAGATAAAAGAGAAAGCGCTGGGGATTTTGGAGTGACTTCCAGGTGGGGCTGGAATTAGGGAGCGGAGCTGGCACCAGAGTGAGCTCCCCTGGGCAGGGTTGGATGTGCAGCAGAGGCATTTCCTCTGCAAACATCTCGTCCTTTCCTTCCCTTCCACAGCCAGCAACGCGGCTTCAAATCCCAGGAAAGTCCCAGAAATCCAACAGTGCTCCTCGGGGACTGTTTCCTTCTTTTCACATTTACTTTAGCTCTTTCTATCCCGTATTTTGGCTGCAGGCCATGGGATTATATGGGATATCCAGGGAGACTCTGTCCTTCTTTAGCTCGTTGGTGTTGATAAACTGAGCAGGAGGAGGCAGAGGCATAAGAGTGTTTCATCATTACCTTGGGGTGATAAAGCCACGGTGGGATCAGAGGAGCACTTGGAGCTGGTTCTGGAGGCTGTGCAGACACACTAAAACAAGGCACATCTCAGACCCCAAATATTCTGGGGGGGGAAATACTTAACATTTAGTGCTGTTCTCCAGGGAGATAGTTCCACCAGGCTTTTCCTGTGCCCTTGTAACATTTGGCAAAAGGGCAGAGGAATGTCAATGGTTTATGTCTCAAAAACTCTGGCTCTTGTCCCCTGAGGATTGACCTCAGCAGGTCCTTGCCCACCTGGGAGAGGGTGCTGGGTTTTCTCCCCTCCTCTGGGCACAGCTGCTGCAGAGACCTCAGGTCCTGTATTGGTGTGCAGGGACCGCCCAGGGGAGGGAAGGACACAGGTTGCTCCATCCTGATGCCTCCCACACTTCACAAAGCCTTGGAGGAGCAGGGACAGAGTTTCAAGGCAACTCAGGGCTGAAGGTGCTTTCTGTGGTGCATTTGATGAGGACATGCTGGAAGGCCCACAGGGTTTGGAGACAGCCTCCTGGCATCAGTCAAGTCTGCTCCGTGACCTTGGATGTCAGGTTTTGGAGGTGCCCCATAACAGGAACATTATTTCCCAGGGGAGGACAGGTGAGCTGGGCTCATGGGATTTGGGGTTCAGAAGGGTGCATGCACCAAACCAGCTCAACCTTCCACCTGGGTGCTCACATGGCCACACTGGTCCTACACCTCAGCTTGGGGTTTGGGGTCAGGCCCTGCTGAGGCATGGGGACACCCTGGCATGGATTTAACAGGGACACCTGGGCACCTCCCTCACACCCAGTACTCCTTGGGCTGTGCAAGGGTGGGGCTTCTTGAAGAATGAAGTGATTACCTGATTTCCCCAGGTGTCCCCCAGCATCAGAGCAGCTTTAGATGGCAGAGCTAAAGCTTTCTTTGCCAACCTGTCAGTCCATGGGCTCTCCTAAGAGAGTTATAAAATGAGTTGTGGGCATTCAAACCTTTGGTAACTTGAGGAAATGATTTACAGGGTGTAGGTAGGGGATTTTTTAGGGATAGTTCTCCCTTTCCACTGCTCTCTTCCCCCTACACCCCATTCCCCACTCTCCTGAAAACTACTTGCCTGCAGCTACAGGGCATCACTTCAGTTCCCATCCTCTTGTGCTCCCATTGCTGTGATTCCTCTCTGTCCTCTGTGTGTCCTTCCAGCTGGTAGCACCTTGGATATCTTCAGGAAATGTTTGTAAAGGCTTTAGTTTAGTTTGCAATGGGACACGGGGGAGGCATCAGGACTTTGAGGAAATTCTGGCTTGGTGGCCCTGGCTCACAGCACTGAACTCTGTGCCTGAAGGAACCTTGCTCAAAACTGCCTTAACCAAACCTGTGGTGGCTGTGCCCAGGTCACTGGGCATGGCCAGTCCAGGGCATTGCCAGCCCATCCCTGCAGCACCCAGAGCTGCCCTGGAAGGGACCCAGTTGGAAGTGGGGAGTGTCTCAGACAGCTTGGGGTGGGGGATGCCACCTTCTCCACCCTGAGCCTTTGCAGCAGAGAATTGAGACTCAGTTGGGCTCAGTGAGGTGCCAAGGGCCCCAGGCTGGAGTAGCAATCCCTGTGGAGCCTGGGAGCCTGTCCCTGTGCAGGGGTTCACAGGGCAGGGGAGACAGCATGGCCCTGGTGGGGCCTGACAGCCCTGGGGGCAATGTTTGCCCAGCACCAGGTTGTGCTGCCCTGGGACAGGAACCTCCTGGAGGCACATGGTGAGATTCTTGGGGTGTCCTGTGCAGAGCCAGGAGCTGGACTTGGATGGTCCTTTTGGGTCCCTTCCAGCTCAGTGTTCTGTGGTTCTGGAGAGGTGAGGGAGCTCTGCCCCTGAGCTGAGTGGGACAGACCCCTGGACTCCACTAATCCTGGGAGGCTGCGTGTGTCTCTGGGGCCCCCAACCCAAACAATTTGTGCACATTTATAGGTTCTGCTCATGCGTATCCATGAGGACTGTGCCTCCCCCACACACTGACAGGGAACATATCACATGTCCAGGGCATCCCTGACATTCCACACACCTACAGGGTCTGTGGAGCCCTCAGACACCCACAGGGACCACATTCCCCACACAGATTGATCCATAAACTCTTACAGGAACAATCTCCAGTGCACACACTGAGGGGCCATACAGACTGCAAACCTACAGCCACCATGGCCCCTCTGTGCCCTCGAGGGGGCTGCTGTCCCTACACCTCCAGAGGGACTGTACCCACAGCTGAGCCAGTGGGAACACATCTCTGTCCACCCCTGTCCCCAGGGACAGGGGCCACTCACCACACACACCCATAGGGAGCAAATCCCTGCCTATCCCTGCAGGGACCCCATCCCCAGGGACACGTGTAATGATCACACACAGGGACCTCATCCCTGCAGGGACCACGTCCACAGGGACAGGTAGAGGGGCCACATACACCATTAACGACCACATTCCTGCTCATTCCTGTTGGGACCACACCCCCAGGGACAGGTACAGGGATCACACACCTATAGGGAACACATCGCTGCCCATCCCTGCAGGGACCAAGTCTGTAGGGACAGGGACAGTGGCCATACACACCTTTAGGGACCACATCCCTACAGGGACCACATCCCCATGGACAGGTAAGGGGCCAGACACACTTACAGGGACATCCTTGCCC